ACATTCCACTTTATAAGTTTGTTTTCAAGTGAAATAAAATTAAGAAATCAGACTCCTAATGTTGATGTTAGTATGCCGCATGTAACGATTCAGAAAAAAAAAATTGTAGAACGATTCATCTCGTTGAAAATCTCGCGATTTCTGGAGAGGGGCAGCCCAAGAATTTCCCGCCAACCACCCACGACTCTCCTACAAGAAATCTCGTGTAGCAACTATCCTTCAGCCTTCACCTGCAAAGACAGAGAGTGAGAGATAGAGAGAGAAGTAAGGAGAAGACGAACGGTTTGGTTCCTCATATGCGACATCGGCTATTAACTTTTGACAATCGAGAGGAAATCGTCGACGGAATAAAAACAGTCGAAGAAAATTTGTTGGAAGAAAATGAAAACAGAAAGCATAAGAAAATAAAAGGGAGAGTAAAACCTTGGGATTTGACTTCGCTGAAAAAAACGGTGATTTGTTTAACATTAGATTCATCTATTTAAATAACTATTCTACCATAAAAATGACTCAAAGTGGCCCATTAAATCTGTGTCACTCCCCTGTAAACATGACCCAAGCTGTTCCTCTGTTTGAATGAAATCAATCTGGATGAGCCCCCGATCTGTATACTCCCGAATGTAATGGAACCTGATCTCTATGTGCTTGCTCCAGTCGTGTAAAACTAGATTTTTGACTAGGGAGATCGTAGCTTTGTTGTCCACGTAAAGCATTGGTGGATCACCTTCTTTTCCGATGAGTTCTTCCATCAGTCACGTAAGCCAGACCCCCTGTGTTGCTGCTGTCGAAGCGGCAATGTACGCTGCTTCGCAAGAAGATAAAGCAACTACCTTTTACTTAATTGATTGCCAGCAGATCGCACCGTCTGAGAGAAAGTAAATCATCCCGTTGATGCTCTTACAATCATCACTATAGCCGACTAGCTCAAGCTTCTTCTTTCCTCTCCCGGCACAGTATCTCACACTCCAGCCTCTGGTTCCAGCTACATAGTGCAGGATGCGCTTGACAATCATTAGATACTTCTCCCTAGGTGCTTCCATAAACCTACTCACGTATCCAACAGAATAAGCAAGGTCAGGGCGTGTGTTTACCAGATAGCGCAGGCTCTCGACAATGTTGTGGTAATTGGTGGAGTCGACTGCCGTAGTAGTGCCGACCTTCCTCAACTGGAGTCGGGCCTCCATTGACGTCCTTGTAGGGTACTGTCCGCTAGCCCAGCTGTGTCCAACAGCTTCTTTGTGTATGCACCTTGACAAATGGTGATGCCGGCAGTACTCTGTTGCACTTTGATGCCGAGGTAGTAGCTGAGCACGCCGAGATAGCTCATCTTGAAGTTCTTTGACATCTCCCTTTTGAATCTTCCAAGGACTTCCATGTTGCCTGCAATGATTATGAGGTTGTTGACATACACTCCCACGATTAGTCGCTGGTCGCTGTGGCTGTGGGCGTGCGTGTACATGTCATGCTCAGAGGCATAGCGCTTGAACTTCAGCGACAACAAGGTACTATCGAGCTTCGTGTTTCAGGCTCGTGGTGCTTGTCAAAGCCCATAGAGTGCCTCGTGTAGGTGCAATACCTTGTCAAGATTGTCATTGTCCAGGAAGCTCGATGGTTGTCGAACATAGACGATCTCCTTCAACTCTCTGTTGTTAGATAAATCTCTATTGTTTAATTAAAGTAATTCTTTTTTTTTTAAGTGGTCCTATCTCTTAGTTAAAGCCACACAAATTAACTAAGTGGAATAGTCAGTCCAGTGGGGCTTTAATTCAGTTGCTATTTTTTTTTTCTATTTTTAAGGATATATTGTTATTTAAATATGTCAATTGAATGACAAATAGATATGGGGTCTTCAATGCATACTATTTCTCCCTTTTATTTTTCCGTTATTTTCTTCTTCAAAGATTTTTCTTCGGATTTTTTCCTCGTCAACGCTTTCCTCCAATTTGCTCAGTCAAAAATAACAAGTGATATTAGAGCCTGGTTTAATCCACAGGTGGTATATCATTGCAGAGGAGCCGACTTTATCAAAAGCCAAGTTGATAGGTTCAATTAGTTAGAACATCGACCTAACAACACATAAGTCTCCATCACCGACACAAAGAAGCCAACGCCACGAAGACGGACGTCAAGTTTTCGTCGAGCGAGTGATCAGGAAGACGATCGCCTTTATGCAGTACTCGATGCTGACGACGTCCAACTACAATGAGTGGACCTTGTTGATGCACGTCAACCTACAAGCATTAGGGTTCTGGTACGCCGTAAAGCTAGAGGAAGGAGAAACGATCGAGTACCTGGAGGATCAATTTAATAGTGTTAATATAACGCATGCAGAAGCAATTTGGATCTTAAGCACTCTAAGTAGATCAATTATAATAAATTATCTAGCATGTTCAAAAGCAATAAAACTCAATGAGTTTGAATACTAACCTTTTGTAGTTTAAATTTCTTTTTCCTCACGAACCGGTTTCGAACCACCACTAGTGTCTTCTCTACTATTCTCCGGCTCCGACCGTAGAATGGGATTGTCAAATCCAATGAGTGACTAAATTTGAAAAGAATTTAGTATATGTAAAGAGAGAGTTTTGAGAGAATTTCTCAAAGATTTTCAAGAAAAGTTTTCATGTACCTTGATCACTCTATAAATAGAGTGATATTTGCATGTTCATGCAAATGTGAGATTATCAAATTTTGACACTCAAAATTCCACTAAAATTTGTGGGATTATGTGGCAAGCATGCAAGTTTGAATTAACCAAATTTTGACCCTCAAAATTCCACTCAAATTTGAGGGGTTTATTTGACAAACATGCAAGTTTGGTTAAACCAAATTTTGACACTCAAAATTCCACTCAAATTTGTGGAATTATTTGCAAACATGCCAGTTTGTTAAACCATATTGACACTCAATATTCCACTAACTCAAACATGGATTTTTTCCTTTAGGTGGAGTCAACATTTAGACTTTCTCTATTTTAATTCAACAATTAATTTTAAATTAAAATAATATTAAAGGATTAATTAAAAAAATTAATTAATATTTAACATTAAATTAAATGTCAATCCCAATCAATTCCGGCACATATTGATTATGAATCCCTATTCATAATTAAAATATTTAAATCTTATTTAAATATCTCTCATTCTCTCATTTTGTTTAATTTGTAATTAAATTAAAATGCGGTTAAATATATCGTATATATTTAGCGCATATTCCCTAATTTGAGTTCGAACAATTCAAACTCACTCGTCACACAGTTCTAAGGTTTAGTCCAATATGAGCTAGCAATGGGACCCAATGGATCTACAGATCATGGGCTCCAACGATCCGAGATTAACCGGCTAAACTCATTAACCCTTTAACCAACATTCGTTAACTACTAGGACACTCCACTGTAGCCTAATAGTTGTACTCCCCTCACTATAGATATATTTCTGTCCATTTGATATAACCATGATTAGTAAGTCGATCCTTCACAAGTTGTTCGTAATTAGAACCGGGTCAATTTACCATTTTTACCCATAAAGTTACTTCTTGTTCTTTAAGTCCCACTGACCCTCTAATGAACAATTGGTTTGTGCTCCAACCACGAAACCGAACCCCTCTTCGGGCCAATGAGAGGGTGGGGCCCCTTGTTCAAGACCTGGAGTCAGTACTTAAGGGAACAACCTCTCTACTATCCCTAAAAGCGAGTAGGAGTGAATTCTATCTTGTACCCTATGTCCCCATGATAAGATAAGGAATCAATACAAGGGGAATAAGATTCGTATTACCTTGTTGATCGAATATCTCAAGGCAAGAACATTGTTTGAGATTCGAATCACTCCATAAGCAAGATCGATCACGTCTAGCTTGAATGATTCTTGTTGATCAAATATCTCAACACAAGAACACTTACTTGAGATTCGAATCACTCCACAAGCAAGATTGATCATATTGAGCTTGAATGGTTCTACATACAACCTAAACAACATAGAATTGCAAAGAAACTTAGCCATTGGTTAAAGAAAAGCACAAATGCTACTTTTATTATATATTCAAGTCTCTTTACAAATATAACATACATGGCTTTATATAGCCTCAAAATGAAACTATTAAAAGCGTAACATTCATACTTAATGACCATAATTAGCCATTATGTAAATGTAACCTATAAAGTAAATAAAATGTCTTACAATACAATAACTCTAAATTACTCTAAATTGTAACCCACCCAAAATTTACAACAATCAAACTTTATTCTTCTTCAATGTAGCATGAATTGAAACATCTTTTGATAATTTTGACAACCTTTTCTTCACATCTTCATTGAAGTATATTGTATGATTGATGTCTCTTGGTTCATATCATTCTCCACTTCTTCAAGAGGATTCGTCCTCGAATCTATTTGTGAAACTTTGCTGCAAAAAATAAGTTATGGAAATATGAAGGACCTCACAACACTCTCTCACGAGTATACACTCAAGGAAATTTTAGGACACTCTTTTTACACTCAGTTACACAAATGAAGCTCTCATTCTCACCTCTCAAAATTTTAAATAGAGCAAAGATTGAATTTTGAACTCTGGGTCGATTAAAAACTAAAAAGATGAAAATAAATAAAAATCAAATTAAGAAGAAACGCAAAGGAAACATTATCTGATCTTGAGCCTGAAGCTCTGATACCAAATGATAAGATAAGTAATCAATACAAGGGGAATAAGATTCGGATTACCTTGTTGATCGAATATCTCAAGGCAAGAACATTGTTTGAGATTCGAATCACTCCACAAGCAAGATCGATCACGTCTAGCTTGAATGATTCTTGTTGATCAAATATCTCAACGCAAGAACACTTACTTGAGATTCGAATCACTCCACAAGCAAGATTGATCATGTCGAGCTTGAATGATTCTACATGCAAGTTCTAAACACAAGAATTTGCAAAGAAAGTTTAGCTCTCAACAAAGCAAAAATGGAACTTCTATTCTTAATTCCAAAATCTGATATGAAATGCTGATAAGAATTTTTTATATGCTAGTCTTACCCTTGAAATGGGAAGCTTATTGAGTCGGCGAACTCGGGCCACTCTCAACCATGCAAATCTAAGGATAATTCTGAATAAACAAGAGTTCATAGTTAGCTCAGGATTAAGGTCGAGTTACCTAGGTCATCGAGTGAAAAAATTAGTCTCAACAGTAAACGACATTATAAAGTAAGAGTGATTTTCTTCATGGTCCGATCTTATGCAATACTCATTGCATAGGACGCTCCCACTCACATGTCTCCACATATACAATTTAGTGATCACATTGTTTACATCATATACAAAAGTGGGCCGCATCCATAGTGTCCCCAAGATAAGGTACTCAGTCTTATCCTTGTATTATAGATCATCTTGACTATATACTTGAACTTGATTCACTCTTATGTCTCTACATATAGTTCAAGTAATCATACTATAGCCATAGTATTCTTAGTTTATTGAATTTAGATTAATGATCGTAAAATTCACTTGATTCAATAACAATCTTTACTGAATAAACATCAATAATAACTTTATTGAAAATTGAATATGTTTTTGTTTACAAACTATGAGTTTTAGGACATAAAATCCAACACGGTTGGCGTTCGCTGCCATATCACAGTCTGTGCCTTCAGAGATGCTAGCGTCTCTCTCCACCAAGCGCACCACGCAATCAGCTTGGGATGGTATCAAATCCCGTCGGATTGGTGTGCAGCGAATGCGGGAATCCAACATCGAGCAACTACGAAAGGAGCTCTCGGAGATCCTCTTTAAGGACGGTAAATTCGTAAGATGACTTTCCAATGCGGATGACGGGACTCGCCAACAGAATCACCACTCTCGGTGGGAGCATCAACGAGATAGAAATCGTGAAGAAGATGATGCAGGTCGCCCCATATCACATTGAGCAAGTCGCAATTTTGATCGAGATATTACTTGACATGAACGACCTAACGATGGAAGAGGTGAACGGAAGATTGTGCAATGTTGAACAAAGGAAGAAGAATGCCGCTTCAGCTGTTGACAATTAGGGTCGTCTTCTCCTCAATGAGGAGGAATGACTTGCACGCCTAAAGCTCCGCGAGAGAAACGGGTCCTCCAATGGCAAAGGCGGTAAGAAGCCGTGGAAATCTCGTGAGCGCACGTGCGAGAAAGAAGGGGATCAAAAGAAGGAGTCGAGTGATGGCGGGCCAATCCAGTGCTTGAACTGTGGGATAAAAGGCCACCTGAGCAAGAATTGCTGGAGCAAGCTCAGGAACAAGGAAAAAGTCCATGTGGCCCAATCCAAGGAGGACTAGCCGACTCTTTTCATGGTATGCGCACCGGTCTTATCCGACGTCCCTAATTACAAATCCACAAAAGTAACCGATGACATAACTGCTCCGATGAGAATTGTCAGTGAGGGGTTGATAGATCCCAAGGAAGACCACATGGCACTGCCTCGGGAGCCAATTCAGTTGAAGGAGGAGCGAGTGTTCGCTCAAATTGGTGAAAGAGGCGAGCAACAAGAGCACCGACGATGGGTACTCAACACAGGGACAACAAACCATATGACCGGGCCAGGTCTGCATTCTTCGAGCTTGTCTCAGGAATTTGCGAGATAGTTAAGTTCGACGACGGCTCCGTCGTCGAGATCGAAGGGTGCGGCACCATCCTATTTGCCGGCAAGGTTGGGGAGCACCAAAAGCTGACTAGCGTCTACTTCATCCCAAGGCTCAAGGCTAACCTTATGAGCCTGGGTCAACTCGATGAGGTCGGCTGACACATTTCCATCAAGTGCGATGATCGACGATGGCTGCTCATGCAAGTACGATGCACGGCAAACTTCCTTTACATTATGGAGTTGGAGATAGAGCAACCGGTCAGCCTCTCAGCTAGGATCGAAGAAGTAGCTTGGAGGTGGCACGCAAGGTACGGACACCTAAGCTTTCCTGCTCTACAAAAACTACACAAGGAGGAGATGGTGCACAACTTTCCGGTAATTAAAGGCGTGAACAGACTGTGCGACGTGATGTCTCATCGGCAAGCAGAGGCGCACTCCCTTTGCATCTCAGGCATCCTACCGCGTCGGTGAACCGTTGGAGCTCGTGCATGGCGATATCTGCGGGCCTATCAAGCCAACGACCCCAGGCGGTAAGACCCTCTTCCTTCTACTAGTCGATGACAAAAGCCGCTTCATGTGGTTGATCCTACTACAAGCAAAAAGTGAGACGGTAGAGGCGATTAAGCACATTCAGGCGCGAGCGGAGGCCAAATGCGAGTGCTGTGCACGGATCGAGACAGAGAATTCACCTTGGCGAGCTTCAGTAAGTACTGTGACGAGCTCGGCATACAGCGGCAACTAACGGCGCTCTACTCCCCCTAGCAGAACAGGGTGGTGGAATGCCAAAATCAAACCATCGTTGGGACAGCAAGGTCATTGCTGATGACGGCCAGGATGCCTGGGAGGTTCTAGAGAGAGGCAGTAATGACAGCCGTCTACCTCCTCAATCGGTCGTCAACGCGAAGCCTCGATGGGAAGACGCCACACGAGACCTGGTATAACAAGAAGCCAGCAGTACATCATCTTCGAGTTTTCGGCTACGTCACATACATACATGAAGGACGCGCGTCCCCACCTTGCCAAGCTTGATCCCAAGGGGCTGAAGGTCGTCTTCATCGCTACGAACTCGGGAGCAAGGCATACAGGCTCTATGATCTTGTGGAGGGGCGAGCTCACGTGTCGCGCAACGTCATCTTTGACGAGAGCATCTTCTAGCAGTGGAATGAATGACCGAGGCGAACCAAAACCCAAATCAATTCACGATGAAGTACCTCGTCACCGAGCCGGGAGAAGGAAGAGCACAGCATCGTGAATCGTCACTACCGCCAGCAGTTGCACCGGGCACGACTACGCCAACCCCAACCACAACTCCTGTTGCACCCCATAAACCAGTGTTGTTCATAACACCACGTACTGCGGATTTGACACTAGATGCCGATCACGATGATGGTCTAGTGGCCAGGTAACGGAGGATGGAAGACCTACTAGGAGGAGGTGAACCACCTAGACTGAAGACGTGCGAGCTTGAAGAAGAGGTGGTCGAACAAGACATGGAGTCTGGAGGACATGCCGCTGGGACACCGAGCCATAAGGTTCAAAATCGGAGTTCAAACAATAAGGTAGATATACCATAGGGCTTTAGGAGGAGATTGTTAGATAAATCTCTATTGTTTAGTTAAAGTCATAAATCTCTATTGTTTAGTTAAAGTCATTTCTATTTTTTTTTTTTGGTTAAAGTGATCCCTAATTCTTATATAAGCCACCGAAATTAAGTGAGTGGAATTGCACATGGAGTGGGAGGGCTTTAATTCCGTTGCCATTTTTTTTCTATCCTTAGGATATATTGTTATTTAAATATGTCAATTGAATGACAAACAAATATCGGGTCTTCGATGCATATTGTCTCTCTCTTTTGTTTTTTCATTATTTTCTTCTTCAAAGATTTTCCTTCGGCTTTTTTCCTCGTCAACGATTTTCTCCAATTTGCTCAGTCAAAAACAACATCCATTGAAGAAAGCGGACTTCACGTCCATATGGTGGACCTCCCAAGAATGATGTACCGCAATTGTCAGCAATAGGCGGACAGATTACAACCTTGCCACCGGCACGAATACCTCTTCGAAGTCCACTCCTTGCTTCTGGACGTAGCCCTTCGCCACCAGACGGGCCTTGTGTTTCATAACTTCTCCCTCTTCATTATGCTTCCATTTGAAGACCCATTTGAGCCCTATGGCTCGGTGTCCCAGCGGCATGTCCTCTAGACTCCACGTCTTGTTCCTGCATTGCCTTCAACCAGCATGGGTTCCTTTCTGCTTCAGCGAAGGTGTTCGGTTCATCCGCGCTAATGGCATGCAGTTCGGCCACCTCCTCTTCTTCAAGCTCGCGCGCCGCCAATCTAGGTGGTTCACCTCCTCCCAATAGGTCTTCCATCCTCTGGTACCTGGCCGCCAGACCATCATCGTGATCGGCATCCAGCGTCAAATCTGAAGTACGTGGTGTTGCGAACTCCACTGGTTCAGGGGATGCAACCGCAGGCTTTTATCTAACATCGATAGACCTCGATTCATTTTTCTTACGACCAACAGTGAACCTACTCAGGCCATAGAAAGGATATCAAACGATTCTCGACATTCTAGTGGTAAGTACATTGTATATTGAGGTTGTTTTACCATCTAAAAATGTCATAGGCAAGGATGGATTTAAGAAAAGTTGTAACGCGGAAAATCACGTTTTCACAGGTATATAAAAGTAAAATGACCGTTAGAACTCTTGGGAAGAGAGATAAATGCAACCGGGTCGTTTCGAAGAAGTCGGGTGAAGAAGACTATTTTGAGTCGGATTCGAATTCAGATGGAAACCCCTTTGCAACCTAATCATCAGTTTGGTCTAGCAATCACAAATCGAAACCCGCTGCAGCAGCCTAGTAGCCCACTCGACCCAATAGTAGTACAACCCATGGCCCGACAACGTACACGGCCCACATTCACACAACCCAGCGTTGTGACCATGCACCTGTAAAAAAAAATTGAACCGAAGTCTGTGCTCTAACCCAAAATGCAACCCGCGCATGCGTCCGCGACCCTCCAACGACTCGGGTTACTGCCTGTAGACACCGACTCCTTTGACTCTAGTGGCTCGGCTCAGAATGGCTCCTTTGCCAAAAAAAGGCTTATTCGGCTCGGATTATAAATTTCCATACTAATATAATGATATGATGACATGATGATGTAAGATGCATGATGATGAGATGACTTAACATGATGATATTCCATATTAAGATGATACACATGTACTAAATGTCATGGTGCATTATGACGAAGAGTTTTCTAAGACAACCCTAAATGATGTTAATGATGATAAATGTATGAAAGTCAATGCATGCATATTATCTAGAGTAATATGTAAATAATATGTAGGGTTGTGTCATAAAAATAATTTGAGATGTAAACCACAGGGACCTCATATATT